GGGCTGATGTCCAGTGGCTGCCTGGGCAGCTCCACTGATACTTGCGTTGGCCATGAAAAGTAACACAGCCCTACCAGGACAGTGTGCCAGCTGATTCCCCTATTTCTCTCCATTGGTTTTGCACATAGAACTATTTCTACATCCAATACCTCAGACTATTATATTTCTAATAGTCCTCAGACTCATTCTTCTCCCTATAACAATTCAAACATCTAGCATACTCTTGCAACTATTAGCTAAATAAAATTCCTTATAGAACTTTTCAAGTTTGGCTCAACTCCTCACACTATTTGTCTTTGAAATTGGCTCCAAATGCTCCTTTTTGAAGTGTAAGATACACCAGTCAGCACTATGGAGTACTTTCTTCCCCAGCTTTTGCCCTGATCTCCTCCCACGGTAGTATAGTTTCTAACTACTGCACAATGAAGAGCGGGTCTTGAAATTGCAACATTAGATGTTAACCCCAATTGTTATTATTATTGTGTTCATGTCAGTTATCTTCTTTCCTCTACAGGTCTTTCTGTGTACAGCCAACTGTTTCAGGGCCAGAGGTCCAAGCTCAGATGACAGAGGGGAGAACCAGAGAGAGGATGGGAGCGACGCCACTCCACCTTGCCGACGGAGGTGTATCTGCATATGACCACAGGTGCATGCTGGGTAGGAAACAACAAATGGATATAACCGCTGACATGTCTGACATCACATCAGGCCCTGTTACTATGTGAAGGAGCCGCAAACATGAAAGATAGCCTGCCCTGTCAGGAATCCCTGTGCCTGACGCAGGTCGGGATCTGTTGCACAGCCCAATACTTTCCAGTGGCCTTCTGTATCTCCCCACCCCCCAGCGTCCACTCCATAGCCCCTATCGCAGCAGTTGTCCTCCTTCATTCTCCCCTTGCTGTCTGTCTGTCTGTCTGTCTTTTTGTCTATGCTATAGAAAGACTTCAGTGACAGACACCCAGCAACAGCTGGTTCCAACCAGAGCCCCCATCGGCACTACTACTGGAGCTCAGAGTATAGTCTTTATACTTTATAGCAGTTACTGTACAGCCTGGGAGAGGTGCTCCACCACTCCCCTCATTCTCCGTTTAAAAACAGGTTTGCTGTGTAAGCAAGTTTAGGATGGCAAGAGATATCGACAGAAATTGAGCAGTATTTTAGAGATTGTCTCAATGATCTCTTGTATTACTGAGAAATTAGCAAGGAAAGGAACTCCTGTCAGGTGAGGCAGTCTTGAAGTTGTGTTTGGGAACCAACCACCCCCCATTCAACCATGTATACTGAAGGGATTCCTCTCTTCATGACTTGTTAAATTGGCTAGCAGAACACTTTAATGTTTGAATGAGTTTTATTGTTGCCTTTACAGTTCTCATTTTTGCACTCCCTTGTTTGTCTGTACTCTACAGCAGGGCTCCAATCATGTTCATTGAGAGATACCGTCCTGGCACACCCAATTCTAATGTTTAGCTGGTTGATAAGTTGAATCAGGCTAATTACAACTGGGGTTGTAACCTACAGGTGTGTAGCTCTCCAGGAACAGTATATACCAGACATTTCCCACTATCAACTGGAGTGATGTGCACCTGTTATTTCGCCATTCTTTGTGCGCTCGGGCTCACAGTAGTAATGTACGGTATAATGTTAGAACCCTGCACTGTAATCTGTTTTTATCTGGCTTTAACTTCATAGTATATTACTTTTGTTACTGTAGGCTACACAGTACCAGTAGTCAGTTCGTTTCTGGCTGTAATGCAATGACAATGTTGACCATGTGTGTTTGCACCTTTACAACCTGAGAGGTAAAAGGCTATAGCATGTCTGTCTCATTGCCCCTATGCTCAGAGCATATTTTGTGTAGTGAATGTACTCAGGGTTTGATGTTTGATTTCATAAACTTTGTTGTTGTTTTAGATGACTTTTTGACTGTTTTGCTTTGCTAAAAATAATAATGATTTAGAATGTGATGAAGAGTGTGTTCCTGCATGTGATTCATGTGTGACGTTTTGGCAGAAGTACTGTTCATTACACAGATGGAGAATGTCTGTGAGACTGCCTGTGTCTCCCCAACTGCTGTATTGTAAGGACCAAACAGTGTGGTGACCAATAGTGACCACTTCAAAGCAAGTCCATTAATATCGGTAGCAATATGTTGATCATGCCAGTGTCTATATGTATTCTAAATGGTTGCAGTGTATCTTTTTCATAAAAAAAAGGTCAATCAAATAAGTTTCCTGCACCTCTGAAAGTGAACACTTTTTATCAATACGTTTCAGGACTAGGACCTCAATTTGAATAGCTGTATTGTTGAGCTGGGCCTAAATGCTGAATTTACACTGATATCCACAAATTATGATTACCTTCAGATAAAAACATTTAATAACATCTGTTCTTCCAAGACCATTTTTATTTTTTTAAAAGTGTTTTCAAGAGTAATAGCAATAAAAACATTTACACGTTCACTTAGTGACATACATCGTCTTTTACAACAGAAAAGTCTGCTTCATTTAAGAAAAAAATCCCTAAAACATGATTCTGTTGCATACAGTGACTTGCGAAAGTATTCACCCCCCTTGGCATTTTTCCTATTTTGTTGCCTTACAACCTGGAATTAAAATGGATTTTTTGGGGGTTTGTATCATTTGATTTACACAACATGCCTACCACTTTGAAGATGCAAAATAATTTTTTTTGCCAAACAAACAAGAAATAAGACAAAAAAACAGAAAACTTGAGCGTGCATAACTATTCACCCCCCCCCCCCCCCCCCCCAAAGTCAATACTTTGTAGAGCCACCTTTTGCAGCAATTACAGCTGCAAGTCTCTTGGGGTATGTCTCTATAAGCTTGGCACATCTAGCCACTGGGATTTTTTCCCATTCTTCAAGGCAAAACTGCTCCAGCTCCTTCAAGTTGGATGGGTTCCGCTGGTGTACAGCAATCTTTAAGTCATACCACAGATTCTCAATTGGATTGAGGTCTGAGCTTTGACTAGGCCATTCCAAGACATTTAAACATTTCCCCTTAAACCACTCAAGTGTTGCTTTAGCAGTATGCTTAGGGTCATTGTCCTGCTGGAAGGTGAACCTCTGTCCCAGTCTCAAATCTCTGGTAGACTGAAACAGGTTTCCCTCAAGAATTTCCCTGTATTTAGCGCCATCCATCATTCCTTCAATTCTGACCAGTTTCCCAGTCCCTGCCGATGAAAAACATCCCCACAGCATGATGCTGCCACCACCATGCTTCACTGTGGGGATGGTGTTCTCGGGGTGATGAGAGGTGTTGGGTTTGCACCAGACATAGCGTTTGCCTTGATGGCCAGAAAACTCAATTTTAGTCTCATCTGACCAGAGTACCTTCTTCCATCTGTTTGGGGAGTCTCCCACATGCCTTTTGGCGAACACCAAATGTGTTTGCTTATTTTTTTCTTAAAGCAATGGCTTTTTTTCTGTCCACTCTTCTGTAAAGCCCAGCTCTGTGGAGTGTACGGCTTAAAGTGGTCCTATGGACAGATACTCCAATCTCCGCTGTGGAGCTTTGCAGCTCCTTCAGGGTTATCTTTGGTCTCTTTGCTGCCTCTCTGATTAATGCCCTCCTGGCCTGGTCCGTTAGTTTTGGTGGGCGGCCCTCTCTTGGCAGGTTTGTTGTGGTGCCATATTCTTTCAATTTTTTTAATAATGGATTTAATGGTGCTCCGTGGGATGTTCAACGTTTCTGATATTTTTTTATAACCCAACCCTGATCTGTACTTCTCTACAACTTTGTCCCTGACCTGTTTGGAGAGCTCCTTGGTCTTCATGGTGCTGCTTGCTTGGTGGTGCCCCTTGCTTACTGGTGTTGCAGACTCTGGGGCCTTTCAGAACAGGTGTATATATACTGAGATGATGTGACAGATCATGTGACACTTAGATTGCACACAGGTGGACTTTATTTAACTAATTATGTGACTTCTGAAGGTAATTGGTTGCACCAGATCTTATTTAGGGGCTTCATAGCAAAGAGGGTGAATACATATGCACGCACCACTTTTCCGTTATTTATTTTTTAGAATTTCTTGAAACAAGTTATTTTTTAAATTACACTTCACCAATTTGAACTATTTTGTGTATGTCCATTACATGAAATCCAAATAAAAATCAATTTAAATTACAGGTTGTAATGCAACAAAAAAGGAAAAACGCCAAGGGGGGTGAATACTTTTGCAAGGTACTGTAATAGAGGTAAACATAACCATGAAGATACGCTGTTGAATAAAAGTTGTTTTCCAGCATGTTGTATTTTTCCTAAGATACCAGTAATTTGAGTCCATCAGCATCTGTCCTAGATTAACAATGTTAGGGAGCTGTGGTGCGCACCGCGCTAGTTTCCAGCATGGACAGTCTGTTCTGTGCATCAAGGCCTTGTGTTATCCCTCCATTAAAAAGGATGGTTCTCTTTAGGAAACAAAAGTCTGACAGATCTTTTGCTTTAGCCCCTTTGATTTATTCATTTGCACTGTAAGTTCAGGTTCTCAGTGGGTCTCTCTTTTTGACTGCAACTACTGTATGTCCTTGAGTAGGCAGTGGTCAAGGCTAGAACAGCTTCCGTCTGTTCTTTTCCTCTGTTCAGAGGTTGGCTTTGAATGCCCGTGGTCATATGGCACAAAGGTAAAGGCAGTTCAGAAGGCTGAAATATTGACAAGAAAATTAGGAAAAACACTTGACGTTGAAAAGAAAATAGCCATCGTAAAAGGCCAATAAAAAGTTATGTTGATGTTGAGATGGCTGGGTCTGGAGTGATGTTTGAAAGTCATTTGGACACACAGCCTGGGGATTGTGGGTAGAGTGGTGGGCTGCGTCTCTCTCTGCAGGCCCTCTGAGTGGGCTCGGCTGAGGAATGAGGAGGGTGGAGAGTTTTATGAGGGTGGACAGAGGTACTCTTGGTGGTGGGACAGACAGCACGCCACCCTCCACTCCCTCAGGCCGTGCGGGCCATGTCAGATCCCAGTGTGCTGGGCCGGGGCCCTTAGCTGCACTTGCAGGACTTGACGATCATGTTGGAGAGCTGCTCCACCTTGGGGGTGCGGCCCACGTAGTAGAGGATGGTGAGGGGCTCCAGGTCCTGAGGCACACAGCAGGGAGAGGCAGATGCCTCAGGGTTCAGGGTGTTGTACAGACTCAGCATCTACGGAGGGATGGAGGAAGGGAGGGGATGTCAGACCAGGGACAATCACTACAAAAATCTATGTTTTTCCTTTCATTTCGATAAAAAATGAGTTAGACTTTTAAGTTAGATATACAAGTTGCACTAAGACTGGGAAATGTGATGATGAACTATGGGTTGGTATTTGGTCATATTGGCATGGGAAGGCGCAGGGTATCAGATTGTAAGAGTGTCTAGGTGAGTGTTGTCTGTTTAGGTGTGCCAACATGCATGCTTGTAAGTGCCTGCATTCCATTGTGTCAGTTAGTGTTTGTGTGGTAATAATTATTTGTAACACAGGGTAATGAGTCATTAGTGGTGTACAAGTTGTGTCTCACCGAGCTGTGTGTGGTGTCTGCGCTCCGTAGGTAAGGGCAGGGCCCGGAGCAAAAGTTAGCATAGTATCCCTTAGGCTCGTGGATCCACCTCCAGCCCAGGTGCTGGCGGAAGTCAATGTAGAGGGGTCGCACACAGCAGTTCTCCTCATAGTTGCTACAGCAGGCAGGGGAGAGAGAGTGATCTTTATGAAGAAATTAAATACATTACCTGAAGGAGAAACACTCTATTTCCAAGTTGGGTACATTTCACTACATGCATGCAGTCTGAGAAGCCCAGAAATACCACTGGAAGGTGTGTCCTTATTTCACTCTTGGAGGCAGCCCAGGTGTCTTACTGCTGTTAGTCAGACTGACAGAGGGATTCCAGAGTGGAAGAGAGGAGACAGTGTGTAAGAGAGGGGAAGGAGGTAGCTGCTGTACACTTTAATACAGGGACAGATCTCGACTTGTAATGCCTCTGCAATGCCAGAGACTATCTGATAGCAAATGAACCAGCTTATTAGTATGCTTAACGCTCCTCTGCCAAGTAAATTAGAAATGAGAGAAGACACATTGCCATTTGAGATCCACCTTGACCTACTATATTTCTTACAGGAGTAATTAGTGGCTATTCATCTATTGGACACAAATGTGGCTACTCATCCTGCAGCAAGTTATCATCTAAATATATGACATGCACTCTAAAATCGAGATTGAATTACTAGAGTGAGGTGGTTACTTACGAGAAGCAGTAGTTGGTGTCCAGGGCTCTCTTGCGTCTGCGGGATGAGGACTGGGCGTCTAGCCTGTGAGGAGGCAGCATCATGAGGATGAGGTGAGGGAAGAGCTGCTCCTTCTGCTTCTTCAGTCTGCTGCCCAGGTCCCAGCGGCTCTCATCGTAGTCACCCTCCACACCTACAGGAGGAAGATACAGGAACGTCAGGTGTTTCAGAGGTAAGTGTCATCAGTGGATGAAACGGTACATAGGCCAAGACCATTCCATTGCAATATTCCATATTCAAATTGGACAAAATTGGATAATTTTGTTAATTCAAGCTGAAGTGCAGTCCTAGTCCATTAGAAAACAAAGTTCAGTTCAAATGTTAACCCAAATATTTCAACAGAATTGTGCATGAGTGTGTCTGATTGAGTCAGTTATACAGAATTTGTATTAATCACTGCTGTTTTAGTCATAGTGCTTTCTGTAACGTTTTAAAAGCATTGTCTTCACTGGTGAGAGGCTGGACTTCAGACATCACCCACTCAACCCCACTCCTCCTCCACCTCCACCAGTCAGAGCTGGTCCCTCTGTCCTCCCCCTGGGTTAGTGTCTGCTCATCCAATCTGCCCCTGATAGCAAAAGCAGTAGAGATCTCAGGAGAGACGCTGCCGGTGGATACGGACGCCCCTCTTAATTCGGGGCCAAGCATCTGAGCGCCGTGGAAGCACATTCCTTGTGGCCAAGCCAGTCAGGGGAGCGTTCCCAGGACCAGGGGGCCCCAATGCTAAGTGAGATACCAGACCAATGGTATTCCCATGATATTTTCTGTCTCTCTCTCCCGCTCTCTCTCTCATATAAAAAAAGTGCCAAATAACTATCAACCATTGAGGCCCACTGGATAAGACTTCAGAGGGTATTTTCCTAAATCAGAGCTCGTACGGAAAGAAAGAGGGGCTGTGATGAGCAGTGGAAAAGGCCAAAATGATTTTCATACAAAATGAGGCACCTCGTGTCATCTTACCTTTGAACTTGACATCTAGCACCTCGTTGACGTTTTCGATAATGTCACCATTGGGGTTGAAGGTGTGGCAGGGACAGTGCACACTGATCTCCAGGCCGAGGTTGGTCTCTGAGGGGAAAAAGAGGAAGTGGTATTTAACTTGAGGCCATTTTTCTTTGTCCAAATGAACTTGAGCTTCAAAATACCCTTTGCTCATGCTTTGATATGCAACATATGGTATGAGACAGGGACCATTAGGGCTTTGGTCCACTCACCTCGGTACATGAGCCATTCCCTGACTGTGTCTGTGACATCGAAGGAGACCCACTCTGGCATTCCTTTGGTCAGGGCGTTCTTGCCCCCGATGTAGCGCTGCTTGGCTATGTGGTCGTCTGGCCGCAGGATCTACCAGCCAGAGGTAAGAGAGTGACCCAGCTGCATATGCTCACTCTCTCTCCCACACACACACACACACACACACACACACACCAGACGGCAACCCAGCCAGCGCTGCCTGAGCCAGACACTACAGGATGCCCTGGGCCAAACGTCTTCTCCTCACGGAAAAAGTGACTCCCTGTGTTGATATCCCCATTTTGCAAGTTAATGCCTGTGTGTAGCTGTACTGCCAATGAGAACCTGGCTGTCCCTCCCATCTGCATTTCAAACAATTGGGCTCTCAACATTTTGGGTTTCCTAACACTGGTCTAGTCAGGATGAGGCACTGCATATGTTGCTAGAGACGCCATTGATTCAGATCTCTGAGCGTCTCTGAGTATGTGCTGTATACCAGCATGAAAGTGTACTTTACGTCTCAAACTGAGGCATAGAATGTAGAGATCCACACTTTAAACAACACCTAAGGTTTCTGTGAACAGGTAGAGGCCAGTGAAGTGGGGGGCTCAGCGCCACAGCAGCACCTAGCCCCACAGCAGGCTGGATAACCAGGTCCCTGAACATTGTCAGCATCTAATCTGGCTTCCTGTGGAAACAGGGGACCCAGCGAGAGAGGGCGGCCAGTGCCAGCCCCTGCCAATCAGCTCCCAGCTATGTGTGGGGGCACCGCTCCATTTAATCCCCCTAGTCAATCTGAGCTGAGCTCGGCCCTGGCTTGAGCAGAGCCCGCCTCAGAGGCGGTATGCGGGCCGGAGGCGCTTGTCTCCCTGGCAGGAAATGTTGGCACCTGATCATGGCTCCCAGTCTCTTACTGGAGATTAATGAGGAAACCGAGCAAAGATCCATCCCCGCCACTCCACATACACCCCACAATCCATGGACACACACAAACCACTCAGAAACACACATCATATAAACACACAAATCCAGGTGCAGATGTCTGAATCCCCTGTTGAAAACATCTAACTGAACTTGAAAAAAGGGTGGTTGGACAAAAGTTCGGAGATTGACAGCTGTGAAAGGAGAGATTGCAAAACGGTAATCTAGAGTTTCTCAGAGTCTGCTGTAGCACGCTCTTAAATTTTTACAAATGTACTTATGTAGAATCCATTTGACTTCAGGCACATGGAATAATGATCATCACTTAAAAAGCGGAGAGAGGAATTAGGGGACCTATATAAATGTTTTCTTCTTTCCATGTAGACCAACACTATCCCATGTGCATTGAGCCATATGGGAGAATTGGATCACTACCCCCCCCCCCCCCCCCCCCCCCCCTGCATGCTTGAGTACAGTGGGAATTAAATAGTACATTCACACACCTGGTAGAGCTCAATCCTCTGCTCGTTCCTCTTGGCACTAGAGTTGGGGACACGAAGGGCTCGGAACTCGGCTCTGAAGAGGTTGGTGGAGTTCTTCTCCATGGCCGAGACATTGAAGCGAAACACCTTGGAGGTGATGCCCTTGGGGCAGTAGGGAAGGTCATCTGCAGAGCAGGATACAGAGACAAGGTGAGCCACCTTAAAACACAACTCTAATGATGTAATCCTCCCTGCTTACACACAGCAGGACTGTGACTAAAGTCCTCACTCTGTCCACAGCCTAAACTCTGTATTGAAATATCTATATCTTCTGCATTTCGTAGTGTTTGACACTATAAACAAATGTTCATCACAACAGAAAAAATACAGTTAACCATTCTCCAACCATTGCCAGTGAATAAAACTAAGCTTTGGGCCATCTGTTTATGCTTTGTGCAGTCCGAGTTAGCAACAAGTTGAAGTCATGAAATGAAAACCAAATACCCCATGTGTTGGTGGAACTGAACAGGCTGGTCTAAGATGGCAGGGTGCTCCTCCTCCCTCCCTCCTGATCCAGAGCTCAACAGGTGCTCAGAAAGCTAGGACAGAAGCCAAGCATTCTCTGGAACAACCAACCAACCAGCTCAGCTCACAACATGTGCAATCACATGCAGGTAAATACAGAACACGAGTTCAATTGATGTGTTGTAAGGGAGAGAGACAGTCCTTTGGTGACTGTTTGTCAGAGGGGCTGAGTGTATAACTGAGAGTAGCACCTTAAGGTTCTCTTAGCCATCAATTGAGTAATGAATTGGAAGGGGAACAAGCCCTGTCAACCTGTGTGGTGTGGTTGTGTAAGGCAGACAGTGAACGCCGCTTCAGTAGTACAGTACAGTAGTTACAGTAACAGCCACAGAACACTTCTCGATGGCCCTCTTCTGAAATACTTCCTGTTGCACTGCCAGTCAAGGAAGCGTTTTCTTTTTTTCCAACCCAAAATACCATTGAATCGTTTATTATTTTAACAGGCCGAGCGCATGCAGTGTTGAGCAAAACTGTTGAGCAAAACAAGAACACGGCAAGCATTTTACGAGCAAAGTGGAAACACTCATTTACAGCCAAGCCATCGCTAAGTTATTACCCCAAGCCTGAGCTTTAATAGAGACCCTGTGATTCGCTGGTGGTGGTTAACAAGGACATTGCACCTTTGATCTGTTTATAACAATGGAGAAGGATGTTTGTGTATAATGGATTGTGAGCTTACACGTCTACCTAAACTTCCTATGACCCATAATCCTATTCCACTGTGGCTTTGCCATTATCCAATATTTCCATTGACTGTTTTTTTCAAGTGACCTTTTCAGTCTTGACTCTTCACCCCCAGCCAAATATCTGTCCTGTGCTTCCTCACAATCTATAAGGGCTGAGTACTCCCTTGGCCTGTCCCACACACCCTTTCTCTCTCTTCTCCTGTGTCCCTCTGTCTCCCCCACAGAAGGTGGAAAGCCCCACTTTGAGAGGAGATTTGAAATTCTAATCAAGTCTTTGGTTTCCTTTTGGATGACCTAATTTTTCCCATTGCAGTGGTTTTAGGTGGATTTCACATTAAGTCTTATTTTTGCCAAGGGTCTGAAGGTAATATGTTCCATGGCTGTGAGTGCAGGGGATTGCTAGTATAATTAGAGTGAAATACACAGCAGGCTAATTGACAGTCTCTCTCCTCTCCATTATCAGATCTGGTTCAGCAGCATGAGGATGCTGATATCAGCGGAATCTTGACCTGAACTTTATCTGGAACAACCAAAACATGTCCCAAAGAGCTTCTCTGGGCCCTCAAAATAGATTATTTGTCAATGCGACAAACTTTTATTACATTGTAGCCCTCCCCATTTCTCAAGGTTGTTCACTGTTCTTTCGAGATTCATTGTGAAAATTGTGAAAATAGTAACTTTGTAGCTGACCAAATGTGTCTGTTTGCAAAAATAATATATGTAATAACACCTGTGTGTAATGACACAAACCACAAACAGGTATCACAGTTACATACTACAAACTAAGTACTATGTAGAATTGTGTATCTACACTGTAATCACCTGCCTATGTAACTACTATGTAAATATATGGTTTTCATGGCACTTAATATGAATCTACACTGTAATATGAATGGCACTTAATATGAACCGACAAGTATATCTACACTGTAATTATAGTGTAATCACCTGCCTATGTAACTACTATGTAAATACATGGTTTTCAAGGCACTTAACATGAAGTGGTACAAACACCTCTCCCACTTTTCTCAAGGGACTGAAACTGAGGTCCTGCTTTTTGTAACCTTTCTCTTTTCTGTGGCTGTGTGTCTGCAATGACTTCCATGGAGTCCAGACTGTGGAGCTGAGAAAGCTGACTTCTGAGGACCAGTTGGAAACCATCCACCAACACCTTGACAGAAGTGTGATGTAGTCAAAATGTTGAGCAGTTGACCAGATATATTTATGTTCTAAGTCAGTGGTACTCAACTCTTACCCTACGAAGTCCGGAGCCTGCTGGTTTTCTGTTCTACCTGATAATGAATTGCACCTACCTGGTGTCCCAGGTCTAAATCAGTCCCTGATTAGGGGGGACAATGAAGAAATGCAGTGGAACTGGCTTAGAGGTCCAGAGTTGAGTTTGAGGGTTCTAGGTCAATAGAAGAGTATTAGGTAAGGGTTGCAACAGTAGTGAAACCCTCCACATATGAACGCGTAGGGCCAGACTTTGAATATCTCTGCTCTAAAGCTTCTCATAAAGCTTCCACCCCAGACAGACACTGCTCCCCCTACGCCCCCCTCCACCCTCCACCCTCACCCTTCTGCTTCCTGTGTCTGTGATGCCCCACCACGCTAGCTCCTCTCCTCTCCCTGCCCTGGTAGGTGACATCACACAGAAGCTCCCATCAAACAATCCCAGCAATCAGCCTGTTCCCAGTGCCGTGATGTCAGTCTCTCCAAAGCAGGGAGCTATGTGAAGGTAAACAAAGGAAATGGGGAGCATAGAAAGCAGGTGCTGGTCAGCTGCTGAGGAGTCTGGACCTCGTTTACCAGTGAAAAATGGCAACGGTGCTGCAAAAACGGGTATTCTAGTATATTTAAATGACCTATCAAACTAATCTTATAAGACTTATCTGGCTTATCCAGAAGGCCATAAATATTACTTAGCATTTTTTCAACTAACGTTTCCATCTTTAAAAAATAAGTAACCAATCATGCTTTCTAATCTGTCAATAAAATAATATAGCTACCTCCAGATGACTAAACTTAATAACTTGAGCAGTAAATTCCAATCCAAATCCAATTCTTGCAACTGAAGTACTGATCATGCCCATAAAAACATACTGTTTTGTCAAAGATTTGATCACCTGTGTGAGGTACTATCATTTAAACACAATGCTCTAGTGTGGACCAAGCCAATCCTCTCCATTTCAAGCCCTCCTGTCCTGAGTAAGTCTCTACACATGGATCCTTTGGCTGACTGGCTGACTGCGTTAGATGAGATAATGTGATGGAGTTCTCTGCTGAAGTAAGACAGCTTTTTTCCACTTGATCAAGGATGAAGAGGGGAAAATGGCTGGGCGGGGGGGGGGGGGGGAACTCTGTGTCTGTTTGCCTGGGATGACATCACTTTTCTGCCATTCCATATATCAGAAACACTGCTGTCCTCAGCGCCGGTCCACATATTTCTCCTTTCCTCCCGACGTTGAATCAATGATTGCCATATGCCAGACCGACCACTCACTACAAGCTTTTCTTCTAAAGAAACCTGTCTCTGCCTAATTTTCAGCTATGAGAGCCAACAGGTGGTTTTCTTAGATGGTTCAATGGTTGTCTTTGGACAGACTTACTAGTCAAAAGCAAACATAAAGACAATGAATGAGTGCTAATATATGTGGAGGAGTGAGTACAACTGGAGTTCATTCCCCAAACCAAACCTAGGACTGAGTGTTGTGGATTATGGAGACGCTTGGCCCTTGTGTCATTAGTTTGGCTCCTCTACCAGTGTTTGCCAAATGGCTACCATCTGCACTTGTCATATCCACAGCTTTACTGTTTATAAACACTGTTTATATTCAGAGACACCTAACTAGCGGTACCATGAGTATTTTGGAAAATTATTCTAGCTATTAAAGCATATGAGTCTGGGAGGGAAAGTCTCTGCTTCGTCTTACACAGCCCTGTAACTGAATAATAAAAAGAGTGAAAAAGCACCAATCTGACTATAATCCAAGACATTCCCACCTTCCAAAGAGAGTGTATGTATAACCCATTAGATTATGGAAATGGATTTAAAATATGCCTTACTGTATTACCGTGGTTGCTCGTTCTAATATTTCTTAATTCCTTTCTTTTTTGGGGGGGGGGATTTGCATGTATTGTTTTGTATTGTTAGATATTACTGCACTGTTGGAGCTAGGAACATAATACGTGACCAATAAAATTTAATTTTGGTGACAGACATTACACTTCTTATGAAAATGACTTAATGGAAAGTGAAGGGAAGAGAAAAGTGGTTATTCGACAACACTGCAGGCCTTGTTAATGAGGGGACAAACATTCTCCCTCCCTTACAATCTACTCTAGAGGGTGTAGCTGGACATTAACAAAGAAAATGATTTTTTTTTTTAAACAGTACAAAAAGTGCATTGTAGGCTACATTTACGTAAGTGTATGAAAAATAATTAGTCTAGTTCCTTGGCCAATGAGTGACAACTGTGGCCTATAGGCCCTGTTTATTTACTTTGATCATGACTGACAGGGTGATGTGACTAGGGCTCCTGGCCATGACTGGTGCAGCCCACAGCCCACACATCAGACCTCTGTTTGTTTTGCGGACTCTGACCAAGGCAGTGGCGTAGCCAGAAATGTGTTGGTGGGTTGGCCTGCAGAAATGTGGGTGGGCTCCAAAAAGCAGCTATCTTCGTGGAATTGTACACATTTTGCCATGGGGCAAAGAGAAAATTTTGAAGTTTTATAGCTAATCTCATGCTATTCTACACATTTTGCCATGAGGCTGAGAGAAAATGTTGCTGTTTTAAAGCTAATTTCCTACAATTATACACATTTTGCCATGGGGCAGAGAGGAAAATGTGCAGTTTTATAGCTCATCTCATGCTATTTTACACATTTTGCCATGAGGCTGATATTTTTATTTTGCATTTTTAAAGCTAATTAAAGACAAAATATAGGTGAGTTGACTGTGATAAAGGCACTGGATTATGAGCTGTCTTGTTTGCTAAATGAACAAATTAAATAGGCAATGGCATGGTGTATATAGCCATAGAAGCACTGTGACATGCCTCAATGAAGTCATATTCGTGGCTTATTAGGGATGTGGCTTTCAGTTCGTTTTTTTGGGCAACCCATCCTGTGAGAGTGAATGTCATTCCAGGTCATCTGTTCTGTTATATATAAATCTGACTAACCCAGTGCATTGCTTGCTATGAATTTGATCTGATGGTGTTTGCTTGTTTAGATAAAAAGACAAATAATTGGAACACTGACAAGTAAAGAGCACCTGTCCCTACACCCCTAGACCAAGGTGGTTGTAGTAGTTATTATTTTGAGAGTCAGAAGCACTCGTGGGACCCAATAAACAGATTTGACACAGGGGCCTGAGCTGTTGCCAGAGGAAGCTCTGCTCTGTCTTTGAATAGCATGAAACACCTGCCATGTTGATCTTAAAGCAGTAACATGATGCAATGATCCAGCCCCTGAACAGTGAATAGGACTGCTTCCAAGTCTTCCACTTAGTAAACAATTCCCTTCCTGAGAAAATTCACTGCAATAGAGAGAGAAGCTTCCAATAAACTTCTCACTCTGATCAGACTGGAACAATCAGTTGTGGGCGGTTTATACAGGTAATTGGGATGAGCAATTTTGCTCTAGTGCACAAGCCAATCTGCAGCTGAATTAGCTGTGTTTGAACTTTTAAATAGTGCCAATAAAAAAAAAAAACGTTGTTTTATTATGTATTGTGCACACTTCAGCAATGTATCAACAAAGGTTTTGGAGAAATGTATATTTGGAGTTGGGAAAGAAAGGATAATTGGAGCAGTGGTTGGAGGAATGCTAAAATCGATGGAGTCCCTGAATTTTTTTTTTTTTTTCCAATGGAATCTCAGACGGTCGTGTGCTGGGTCCGCTATTGGGAGTTCCCATGGCTTTTGAGTGAGGTATGAGGGAGGAATGGCGCTTATTCCAATTAGACTGTTTTCTTTGCCCTCTCCATTGCGCGTGGTCTTTCCACTGCTCAGACGCGACCATGCGTTTAAGTTGTGTTGGCCAATTCATCTCCGGCTGATGGAACGCACCCCAAGCGAAGGCGTTCTTGCGTTCTTTGATTAGTATAATTTGTTAACATTTCCTCTACATTTTTACAGTATTTAGCCTACGCTGCAGATCTACGGATGCTTTTATAATTTCATTCAGCTGGAATTAACATATGGCCAGTTGAAGGGAGCCAATGACAAATTCTATAAAATAAATCACAGACAAGTTGCATTGCACACAGACATGTATAACATACGTAAATAAACTGGACACAGGGGGCTTAACTCTGCAGGGGAGTCAGAATAATTATATTTTAAAGCGGAGTCAAAAATTGGCTTTATTGGCTTCTTCTACAGGAAATTATAAAAAAAAGTTGCTGTCTTATTTCATTATTGGAGAGGTATGCTTAGTTTCAATCATTTTCATGGCAAACCACCATAAATTGATATTACATCCATGCGCTGCTCACCAGCTGTGACATTCAGATTAAGAAATTAAGCATCATCAGACCTGGACTGCTTAGACTTTCTACATGGAGAAATTGGCTATTTACATGTAATAATCAGGCTTTTGATCAGTAGGATACCTAACATAATAGAAGCCACGGTGGCAACACGATCAGCTGTTTGGTAGGATCATGATTTATTGACAAAACGAACAAAGGGCATGGATAGAAAAGTGGCCTTCATGCGTAAAACGCGTAAAATAGATACATGAACAGTACTTACTGTTTTCTGGTGGTCCATTAATCATATTGAACTTGTAAATCTCTTTGGCGTAATATTCAGTCTCCGTGTTATCCTGTCCACAACTTTGCTGTCTGTCTCTCCCCAACTCCTCGATCAGCTCCTTCGTACTGTTATAGAGCGCCAGCACCTGAAACGGTACCTGATTCGGACCCACTGTTTGCGGCGGGCTGGTTAGTCGAAGTTTACTGAGAATCTGTCCTCGGATTGCCTCTACTCTCTTTTTCTTTATGTGGTCTATGTCCACAGTGGTGCAAGTGGATAGTGACAAAGTCATTGTCACACAGTTCAACAGGAGGAAAAACAGAAGTGCTTTGCCCAAATGCATATTTCTATCTGCCCTTGCTTAGCTAATGAGATGCTTTTTATTTTTTTTGTAAGTATGGTAAAGGGTCAACAGAAAGACACCAAATAATTTGGACTAAATTCCAGGAGAAATGTTACCCTCTATCTCTTTGCATTCAAGTGGTCAATGAGTTCTTTCCCCCGAGGAATCCCATCTTGTCAAGATAGGGCTAGTGTCATCTGGGTGCTATCCGGCTGTGCATTCCAAGAATAGTCCAGATCATTCTTGAAAATGTATTCTATCTGAGACCCCTTTTGGTTCAACCTGTTGTCTTTCTGTTCTTCCTTCAAATGTCACACCCTTGACATCTTCAGTTTTCCCTCTTCATTAGTTAATCATGACAAAATTCATTTTCTCCATTCTTTATTTTTATTTTCCATCATCTGTTGCTGGTATTAACTCAGTGCCGGTCTCCCTCACGTTCCTTCCCGCTTTGAACAACCAGAGTCTCGTACTCAATGGGCGCGCTGTGCTTTCACTGATATTTTATAGTAAACGGTAGTTGTGACGTTTGAGAAGGAGGGACTGCAGATTTTCACTGCACAGGGACATTTCGGGGAGAAGCATTTCACACTCTATGATCATATCTTTCTATCTGGAGGCCATGTGCCAAGTATTACAGATAAATAAACAACTTGTATTGTTTGCAATTGGACTTTGTACTATTTATCCAATTTAAACAAACAATTGCCTACGCGTGCACGTCAGGTCACAAAATAGTTCGGGTCACACAAGAGCTGTGGACATTTTCAAGAAGTGAGAGTATGCCCCCTAGTGGATATGCGAAGCTAATGTGGAAAACATTTTACATTTTAGTCATTTAGCAGACGCTCTTATCCAGAGCGACTTACAGTAGTGAGTGCATACATTTTCTTATTTGTTCGTACTGGTCCCCTGTCGGAATCGAACCCACAACCCTGGCGTTGCAAGTGCCATGCTCTACCAACTGAGCCACTCGGAACCATTGAAAATGAGATCCTGGCCTCAATTGGGATTCTCTGTATAAATAAAATACAAGTTTGAGATATTGGGTCTGAGACATAATAAATGTCCAACAAGTGCCTATGTCCTTCAATTTTGCTAAAGTTATTTATCCAATGATTTACACAATATGTCAGCAATGTCGCTTTTAGTGTAAAACTATACTCAGCATGCTTCCCTAGGAACTGCATTATATTTTCCATTGAAGACATTATGGAAAATGTATTGAGATGTAGCATGATATTTTTTTAGGTCATGAATGACATGAACATAGTGGTATGAAGTCACTGGTGTAGTTGCAGGGAGAGGTTCCATATCAGTATCTCTATATATGGAACTCCAAGGGGCTTAAATCAACATCCACTGGAAATAATCTAGTAAACAATACTGAACCTCCAGTTGCTGGCATGCACCCAACTATCCATTGACTAACAAAAATAAACTCTGCGGTTCGGATGCCATAAACTCAAATGAGCTATACCAAAACGTTTACAGCGATGCCAGACTACAGGGTATGTAAGGCTAAGGATAACAAAGCTAATTCAGGCTCTTTAACGGACTGATGTTTGGCTCAAATTATGACGATGAAAAAGACAATGCAAGCCTACATAGCATGTTTCCATATTATTTCCCCTGTAACTGGGCTAGTTAGCTGACGTTAACTAGCTAGTTACATTTCATTTGGATGCTAGCTTGCTAGCTACATAACTTGCTGTCCGACATTGTATTGTTGCTAGGTAACCTTAGCTAGTGTTTATAGACCTTTTCAACTGTTAAAACAATAACACGTTCTAATGCAAGCGCAACCAAGACGTTCCCCAGTCTACATCCTGTGCTGCAGCGCGCCATAATTTCTAACTAGCTAGTTAGTTGGCTAGCTAGCACAAAATGATATAAATTCGTATTTCTTGATCCAACCAAAACAATTAACAAATTAATTATATACACACTTGTTGCTACCAGATCCACTAAACAAAATCATCAGACAACGTTTATTTCCCGTGTATTATCCGTTTGCTCTGGTGGTGTTACATTTGGCTAGCACAGCAAATAACCACAGTCGAGCTAGCATAATGTGAAGAGGTAGAGAAATATTATTTGACCTTGATAGCCAGCTAGACTCATTTCTCTCACGACAGCCAATATAACTAAACTAAACGTAGCTACCATACGAGTCCAATGTTTGACGGCCATATTGTTTACGTCAAAGTTAGCTAGCAGCAATTTTACCCAGGTTTATTGCCCACTTGGCTAGTTTCAATTAAGAAACATACTGTCGTATGAACCACTAGCTTGTGCTAGGCATTTATTATTGACCTTACGTTATGAGACCAAGCTAGTGGTTTGTTAACATGTAGTATAACAAACGCTAGTGCCGACACCTTGTGGTGATAATGTTGAACTGCATATTAATTATACCAGGATGATACATTTAACATTACATTTTCGTCATTTAGCAGACGCTCTTATCCAGAGCGACTTACAAATTGGTGCATTCACCTTATGATAGCCAGTTTTAATTTTAATTTTATATCATACAAAGAACGCCTATGTAAATGGTTAGTGGGTTAAGACATTCATCTTACTCCAAAACAAGAGATGATTGAATAGTTAAATGAATAGTGTTAAATGAAATAAGGAGCTGTCAGGGCTGGAAGAGAAACCTGCATAACCATTAGCTAGATCTCTAGAAGCAAGGTTCACCATGCATGTTCTAGGTCTATGTATTGTTACTTGTGACATTATTTTTGTAGTCCTACAACCAATTCTAACAGTAAACCAGTAGCATATAACCCACTGGCAATATACCCTTCAGCAGTGGCGCAACTTTGTTTTTTTATCCAGTCGGATAAACACTCCAAACAGCCTACCCGAACGCTCGGAGGCGTCCGCATGGTCCTAAAGCACAGCGTTGCCTCGTTTTGTATCACATTCCAATGATAAAACTGGGGGGGGGGGGGGGGGGGGGACATGTCCGTCCGTCCCCTCCCAGTGAAGGTTCTGCCCCTGCCCTTAAGTCTCTCCAGGACTTGGGACTTTCTTTGGGACCTTCATCCACAGAGGGTTTAGCAGCTGTCACAAGTCTCTGTATCTGAGATTAGAAGCATAGAAATTAGACCAGGACTTGCTTCATTAGCTAGTTCGCTTAGCTACTAGCTAGGTAGCTAACTTGTCATTTTTAGCAGATCAAGCTAACATTTGTGTCATAAAAAAAAACAACATTGGATGGCTGTCAATCCTATTTATATGTAGCTAGCTAGCTACCTGACATTACCTAGAATAGATTATTAACTTGATAAACACATCATGATGCTACACATCATCCTGGCACCGCCACCTCCTCTGCTGCTAACGTTACTATCCATACAGGCAATTCAGGCCGCTGCGATGCTTCTTTGGGAAATCTAGCTATACCTTTTAATTTTCCCAGGACGTAAGGACAATCCCACCCGCGAATACTATGGTCAAAAATGCTAATTCTGACTGTTAGCTTAGCGATCTAGCTGTTTACAGCCGCAACGGAAACTGCTCTTTTTTCAAACGCACCGGAAGTTCTTTGGGGTTCCAGGGTTCACTTAAGCTCCTCCAAAAAAGCTGTTAAAAAGGTCTATATGAGAAATGTTAATAATTTGCAGAAAACCAACACCAGAGCTGTTTATCCAGCCAAGTTCGTTTGCTCTATCTAGCTAGCACCCCTCATGTTGCAGTGATGGGATTCAGGCCAGGCAGGTTTTGATTTACAGTGGGGGAAAAAAAAGTATTTAGTCAGCCACCAATTGTGCAAGTTCTCCCACTTAAAAAGATGAGAGAGGCCTGTAATTTTCATCATAGGTACACGTCAACTATGACAGACAAAATTAGAGAAAAAAAATCCAGAAAATCACATTGTAGGATTTTAAATTAATTAATTTGCAAATTATGGTGGAAAATAAGTATTTGGTCAATAACAAAAGTTTCTCAATACTTTGTTATATACCCTTTGTTGGCAATGACACAGGTCAAACGTTTTCTGTAAGTCTTCACAAGGTTTTCACACACTGTTGCTGGTATTTTGGCCCATTCCTCCATGCAGATCTCCTCTAGAGCAATGATGTTTTGGGGCTGTCGCTGGGCAACACGGACTTTCAACTCCCTCCAAAGATTTTCTATGGGGTTGAGATCTGGAGACTGGCTAGGCCACTCCAGTACCTTGAAATGCTTCATACGAAGCCACTCCTTCGTTGCCCGGGCGGTGTGTTTGGGATCATTGTCATGCTGAAAGACCCAGCCACGTTTCATCTTCAATGCCCTTGCTGATGGAAGGAGGTTTTCACTAAAAATCTCACAATACATGGCCCCATTCATTCTTTCCTTTACACGGATCAGTCGTCCTGGTCCCTTTGCAGAAAAACAGACCCAAAGCATGATGTTTCCACCCCCATGCTTCCCAGTAGGTATGGTGTTCTTTGGATGCAACTCAGCATTCTTTGTCCTCCAAACACGACGAGTTGAGTTTTTACCAAAAAGTTATATTTTGGTTTCATCTGACCATATGACATTCTCCCAATCCTCTTCTGGATCATCCAAATGCACTCTAGCAAACTTCAGACGGGCCTGGACATGTAATGGCTTAAGCAGGGGGACACGTCTGGCACTGCAGGATTTGAGTCCCTGGCGGCGTAGTGTGTTACTGATGGTAGGCTTTGTTTCTTTGGTCCCAGCTCTCTGCAGGTCATTTACTAGGTCCCCCCGTGTGGTTCTGGGATTTTTGCTCACCGTTCTTGTGATCATTTTGACCCCACGGGGTGAGATCTTGCGTGGAGCCCCAGATCGAGGGAGATTATCAGTGGTCTTGTATGTCTTCCATTTCCTAATAATTGCTCCCACAGTTGATTTCTTCAAACCAAGCTGCTTACCTATTGCAGATTCAGTCTTCCCAGCCTGGTGCAGGTCTACAATTTTGTTTCTGGTGTCCTTTGACAGCTCTTTGGTCTTGGCCATAGTGAAGTTTGGAGTGTGAC